TATAACTACTGTTTTCTGACACAGTACGAAACTAATATTGTATCAAGATGCACAGAAAAATTCAATACTGTTTAATTTGGAGTCATGTTAAGAATTAGGCTGATATTGCTATAACTGTTAATGGCTAGTGGCAAAATATTTGATTATTTGATCAGTCAATAGCTGAAAAAATGTATCTTCAACAATTTTAATAATTGAGTCAAAGTTTAAGTCTTTCATGGAGGAAACATTCCAGTTATTTGCAGGTTCAAGCCTCACAGCTTTTAGAGTTTGTGAGTTTTTCTCTGCTTTAAATTATTTTAAAAAATAATATATTTAGGATTAAGACTGCTGGTCTTAATGGACAAAACAAGTTATTTGATTAAATCAGCTCAGGCTCTGGGAACTTATGGTAGGTGCTTTTCACTTTTTTGACATTTTAAAAACAAAAAGAGAAGTCACTTTAAAAAAAAAATCCACAGATGAATTGCTGAAATATTTGATTGCTGTAAATAATTTGTAGTAGAGCTATGTCACGTTGACTACAATGTGAATGTGCGTAACATATGCTAACTGTGTATGTTAGGGAGCTGTACTTAAGGAATTTTTATACTTGCACCAAGGGGTTGGCTCTAAATGTTTGATCTTTAGTTGCACTTACACACTGTCTTTACAATAAACTGTCTGGCAGTGTGGGGCGGTTTACTACTTCACAGAGGCTTGGGAATGGAATCCTCCTCGTCAGTGGAGATTCCCAGCAAGGACACATTGTATTAGACATACTGCAAGATTTCCTCTGCAGGGCTCATGATGCCTTTTACACGCAAGTTATGTGCCTTAAATACTGTGCCAGCTGCCTTCTTTAAAGCAGCTCAGCTGCACAAAGAGTGAATGGAGTGTTCCAGAGCTGGTAGTCACTATCTTTGTGTCTTTAATGCCTGACACTAAACTTGCACGAAGCGTGAAGAAAACACTACACTGGTGTGAGAAGCAGGCTATGCAGATATCAGAGGGAAGAGTTTGGAGAATTGGATGCGAGGTTGTGAAGTTGTTGGACCACTTTACGGTGGAGAAGTGGAGTTTTGTTCATTAAGGGAGAGTTGGAAAGGACTGCTGGCTGTGTTAAGCACATTACCCAGAGGAGAGCTGAATTAGAAATCAGCTACGCGGGGTGTAAGGTCATTGTCTGCATTGAAGGGAACAGGCAGCCTCTATGTCTGAGGATTAGGCTTGCTGTTTGCTTGCCACCAGGCATCTGGTCCTCCCACAGCACACTGTTTCACAGGATAGCACGCTGCAACATGACCGGAGAAAGCAGGGAGGTTTTACTGCACTGTGAGTTACTCTTGACAACTTTCTGCATCTGTAAATCTGAGACTAAAACTGCTCTCATTTCTCCCCCCTCCCTTTACGAATGTTGATCACAGTTGACGGTTTTGATGGTTTTGGGGTGTAATGCTGTGTAGCGAGGGCCGTATTTTAGACCAACTGTCAGTGCTCCTCAAATGGACGTAGAGGTGAGCGCTGCTGGTGGACGTCTGGTTTGATCTTTTCCTTACTTAAGTCATTTTTATTTTAATTCCTTTTAATGAAACAAAAGTCAGAACCTATTTCCTTGACCTAAATTGGAAAGCATTTGTGTCAAGTGCTGTACAGCAAAGTGTATGTGTGATTCCACTGCATAACTTTGTTCTGTCACAATAATCAAATGAGTGACAACTAAGAAAAACTGATTTTGCACCATGCTGAGTCTTACACATATACTCCCCCCACTATACACCAACCGTTCAAGAGCTTTTGGGGATTTGCATAAATTTTGCTGTATTCATTTACATCCATAATAGCCTGTTTTCATTTGAATTACAAAAAGATAGAACTGTGACTGCTTTTTTGTTTGTTTGTTTTACAGAAACTACATCAATATTTATTATTGATGTAATTTAATTTATTTGCTGTTTCTAAAAACAGAATGCATGAATTAACTTGTGTACGATTGAGACATAAACATGACCCTATATCTTGTGGTGCACGCTGATAGTTGGTTTTTATGAAGATCTATTTAAATGTAAATGATCACTTGTTATGGGTCTGGTTCGGTGGTAAAACATGGCTATCCATTCAAAAAATGTGTATACATTTGGAAAACAATAGCACTTGAATTGAATACCGAACAAAGAGCTCAGTTGAGTCATACAATGCAGATTCTTTGTGGTAGTAATGACGCACCAGATGCTGAGTCCATTTCTCCAGATTCTACTGCAGTGAGACCGATACAGCATTGACTCATGCTGACATTCAGTCAAAGCAAACCGTGAGGAAATGTTTGCACAAGTACAATCACTAGTCCTGGCTGAATGAAAAATGTTGACTTTCAGTCTGTTTAGCTTCTGCAATGATGTTGGAAAAAATTGGGAAAAGATGCATGCAGATTGCTGCATTGTTGCACATGCTGCTTTTGCTCTTTTTTTTAATGACATACTGTCATACCTGGACGTGTTGATCTACTGTGAAGCTTCAGGCAGGAAAGCTTGTTGTCATGGTGTTCGTGTTGATGTGTGTATGTATGTACATTTATGTATGACCACAGTAAGAGCAAATCATGATCATCACACAGTAAGAATGTCATTCTGAAACTGCATAGAGCACATGATACGGCTTTTGAGGCATTTTTCTGCAGACATTTACAGACTTAAAATTGTTTTCTTATTAACATTGCTGATTTTCAGTTTGTTCTGCGTAAACATACTGTGATACATTAATATCTACCTGAAATAACCTAATAATTACATTATATAATGTCAACAAATATCACTTTAAATAGCCTGTAAAACTACAATGCAATACAAGTCATGCAAGGCAGAGGTAACTCACAGCCATCCTCCTCATCCAATACAGTTGTCATTCAGCAAATTTATTGGCTGCAGTTTCAGGGGCACTTATAGATTGGCATAACTGTTGGTCATATTTGTATATTTTTCTGGAGGTCAGGGTGCCTTCACAGATTTGATTTACCCAATGTAAAGCTGTCAATCAGTATGATAGAAGAATCAATGCTTATTTTCACATTAAACAGTGAGAAATAAAAAAAACACTTGTTTATTTCTCACTGTTTAATGTGAACACTTGTTTTTGACATCTGGGGTCTGATTGACTCTGACTGACAGTTGGAACATGACCATCCGAATCTGTTACGTGCCAAATAATCCAACAATATGTAATGGATTTTTTTTCACAATAGCTTCTTTGCATATGACGTCATACACAAATTTCAAACGTGAACATTAAAGTGTTAAATATGCCTCAAGTTAGATGCACCATAGAGTACTGGGTTTTAATTTTGAGTTTTGAGATCTGCATTCTGCACAATAAATGCTCTAAAAATACATTATATCTTTGCTTTTGTTGTTGTTGTTGTTTTTTTTTTAATCAATTTAGCTTTGCTAAGGGACTACAAAACCCATTCAGAAACACTTCTATTATAACTTTTACACTTAAATTTATACCGCAATATATACCGTTACCGTGAAAGGATTCGATTTATACCGTGATATGAATTTTAGGTCATACCGCCCAGCCCTAGTATGTATGTTAGCTATGTGTGTAACATTTTGCCATTCAGAATTTAGTGCTTTGTTTTTTACTAGTAGAGCAACAATGAAATGATAAGGAGAGGTCAGCTGAAAAGTGATGGAAAAATATTGTGAGTATATATTTATACAAGCGTGATTACAGCTGAAGGGACATATTCAGAGCTTGGTAGAGGTAGATGTCTAGCCTAAAATTGCCTACCACTTAGCTCTAAAGTTGAGTATTCAACCCAAGTCTTGGAAAAAGAACTGTTCCCTCACCCCTTAAAAACAGGATGAATACAAGGAAAATATAGCCATAGGAATACAAGAAAACAATAGTTGATGGAGGGTCCATTTAAGGCTTTGAAGTGATTGGGGTACAGTAGTAAAATGATGATGTGCACACCATGTGAGACAAGGGTGGGTTTTATCGACTGAGAATTGAGACAATGCAGACAAAATTTTTTGAAATTGAAGTTGACGCAGGAGATATATTGGAGTCAGCAGTGGGCTATATATATATAGTGTGTGATAATGCTTATAGCTGGCAGAATTCTGCGTAAAAGTCAGAAATGTTTTGCACCAGCCATTCATAAATCAATTTCTAAGTTTGTGTAATAAGTCCTTCCTAAATTCTGAGTAACTACCAACTTATTTAACACTAGTGATCAGTGGCTAGTGACCATTAATGTTACAGGAATATTGTGGTGATTAAAAATCTGTCTGAATAGTTTGCTATGAAACATTTGTTGCACCGTCACAACTAAAACTCATACATTGGGCGTGAAAGCACTCAAGCACTTTATAACTTGATATCTAAAAATTCCTATGGTCTCCCAACTCTTGGTCAACTATGTTTCTGTGTATGTTGTTTTGCTTGTCTTACTCTGTTTTATTTATCTTATTTCCATATTGTTGGCATTGTTCCCTTTTATGTGTTTAACATCAACCTGCCATGGGACTGGAGATGGAAATTAGCTGCCTGGCTATGATCTCATGTATTTACAAGTAATTGTTTATTAATACATTTTGTCCCATTAAAAAAAAAAAATCTCAAATAAATAAAACTATCAACTATGTGAACAGGAGGTCGCTGGAGCATCACCAGTTGTAACATTACTTCCAAAAATAATATTTTTTTCTTCTTTATTCTTTTCGTTGGAATAGCAGTTTATTTATTTTTACATTTTTGCATTAATAGCAAACATTTGTTTAAGAAACTGCACATTTTGTTATGATATGTGAGTCTACACACAGAACCTGACCATTATTATTCGATGGAATCTGTTTCATCCTTTCCATCCATGTGTTATATAATTGCTGCGGCCCTGATTCAGGTTAAACTGGTATCCACATCAAATGTGTTTATTTTATTGATGAGACAGAGTTGACTGTGTTGTGTGAGGAGAAGTTAACCAGCACCTGAGTCATGTACTGTCTTTATTTCCACAGATATCCAGGAGTTCTATGAAGTGACACTGCTAAACACACAGAAGAGCTGTGAGCAAAAGCTGGAGGAGGTCAACCACATGGCGGACAAGTGGGAGAAGAGTGTTTCTATACAAAACTCTGAAGTTGCACACTCTGTCTGTCCAGTGGAAGAGGTCAGTCTCTCACAATGTATCATCCCAGCAAAACCCCAGACTGAGGAATTACTTCTGTATGACTAGAGGGCTTTTCACACTGCATATACTTAGCCCAGGGCTATTCTTAGCCTATGGCTAATGATAGCCCTGGGCTAAGAATGAACACACACATTGTTAATCCAAAGTTAACCCATGCCCAAGGCTAATGATTCACATTGCACCTCTACTAGACCTGGGTTAAATATCCGTTGATGTTTACATTCTAAAATGATGTGACTACTCTTTAACAGCAAGCAGCAATGTTAAAATGTCGCCATTAGCAGGGTTTATGTGAGAGCAGTGCTCAAACATCTAAAAAAGAGAGAACAGCAGAGAAAGGAAAGACTAAAAAAAGATGTCTGTTGTTTTACCTTTAAGCAAGTCTTTTCCTGACACATAGTTGTTGTTGTTGTCGTTGTTGTAATTTAGCCAGCTTGCTAGGTACCTCCAGTTTTGGTTAGTAGTAAGTACCATGGTTACAACGTAAACATAAAACAAACACATGTATTAAGTTCCGGTTTTGTTTGGACCCCAAAGCAGATACTGATGCAGGTAAGTAACAAAAAAAGGTTTATTAATAACACGAAAAAACAAAAGAGGAGGCTGTGGAGGCAGGGGGCTGGCTGGCTCGTAGAGTATTCACCGAAGGATGGATTGAAAAAACTCAGGCACATGGTGAGGCACAAAGGACGACCTGAGCACAACAGGAAAAAACCACAGGTAAGTTCAAAAATACGGCTATGCAACAAGTTGATCACAAGATACAAAATGTAAGAACACAGAGCTCTACCGAACATGATGGAATTATCTGGCAGCATAGTGGAGTGAAGACCAGGCTTTTGTAGACAGGAAGATGAGGTGAGTGAAGACAGGTGTGCCTCATCTGCTGCTGCAGGAGAAGCCAGCCACACCCCCTGACACACACATGCACTGCAGAACAGAAAAGAGGGGAGGGAGAGAGAGCAAACACAAAAACATACCACAGGAACCAAAATCATCACAACATGCAGGTGCATTGACAAAGAAGTTGTGTGATTGGACAACAAAAATGTGACACCAATTCTATCAGCTCCATTTTACACTGGCAACTTTTAGCCCCTTGTTTAGTAGATTTTCAGATGATAACCCCACAAAGTCAAAGCTAATCCTGCTGCGGATCAGGGCCAGCAAGCCATATTCTAAAGTTGGGGTCAGCCCACTTGAAATGTGTTAGAATTGTGCCAGTGTAAAATGCTTTCTTAGCCCTGTGCTAACAGCTCCCCTAGCCTAGGTGCTAAGTGCAGTGTGGAATGGGTTCAGGTTGTCAGCTGAAGCCATTCAAAAAGTGTAGAAGTAATGCAAAATATAGCTTTTAAAATCACAGGCTCATCAGTCATGAGGATACACATGAACATGTCCCTTTGTACATTAATACTTAAAACTGATTATTGTGAAACTATTGTAAGTTCTCATTGCTATAAAGGGACCCTCTGCCAATTTTACACACGAAGTTCAGAATACTCTTCAAGATGTGAACTATTAGTCCAGGTGAAACACTTGGTACACTTGTACAGTTTGGGGCCCTAAACATTTTCAGAAACAAAGCCATCACAAGAATGCCTTATGGTGGCCATGGTGGGCATTTTATAAATTTTTTGCATCACTGAATTCACCCATAACTATTTACCTGAAGGGTTTATGATGTTGTTTATGGTATGAGTGTAATCCTTGACCATTAAAACATGGGGCTAGACACCCCCCCTTTTCCATGCTACCGTATTTGGTTCAGGAGATATAATGAAAAACACATCATTCCGTTATGGTGCAAAGTAAAATGGCCACCATGGCCAACACAAGGCATTTTTGCAATGGCTCCATTTCTGAAAATGTTAGAGGTCCCAAACTGCACAAGTGTACCAAGATTCATACTTGTATAAAAAAAAGTGAGCATATCATCAAATTTGGCACATATCACCCAGCCTATAGAGCTAGTGTCAGCAGTTGTATGATATCTCTTAAAGGCTCCAGAGGGAGGTTTCCAAAGTTTGAAAAAGTTTGACAGAATTTTCTTAGAAGGCCACAAGTGTGGAGTTTGAAAGAAGTGGGCATTTATCAGACAGGGATGGTCTAATGAAAGCAGCTATTCAGTTTCATTGTGAGATATAAAGGAAATGTGGTGTCCCACTTATTTGGCACTTCACCCATACTAGAGACTAACAGTTAGGATATTTTGGCCTCTGCTGCTTTCATTTTGACCACTCCTGTTGTTAAATTGTCCTGTGTGCTAATTAACTGATTACTAACTGATTACTAACTGAACTGAACTATTCCTGATGGTCTTAAATTGCCTTAGATTTGATGTTGTGTGTTCATAGTATATTATTAAAATATTTATGCATCAGACATTACTACAGTGATTTCAGAATTTCATTAGGAAATCTCAAACAACTCAGTTACATTTAAAAGCCAGTATGTTAACATGTTTGTGCATGAATGCCATTCATTGATTCTATGCCAGCTTGGTACAGAAAAGAGGTTCAGAGTCTAATAGTTGTGCTTGAAAGCATTTGTTTCAAAGGATTGACTGAGAAGCAATTATTATCTCACCTCGGGGCTAAACTTTGTAAACGAATCGGTCTTCTCTGGGTCGATGAGAAAACTACTGAAGTTTGTTGAAACATGACACAAGAGTTCTAAGAAAGTCACAATGAAATCATGAGCAAAGATTGAACATGATTATATGGTGTCTTCTAAAAAGTGCGTTCATGTGGCATTCATCTTCACACTGTACTGTGAAAAACTTGCCACTGAATTTCTATTAGGAGCAGATTGTTGTCCACCTGCTTTATGTTGTTTCTAGCAAGATTAAAAATAAACTTTAATGTATACATTTTGTGCTAATTAGAATTAGCTGGTGACTCAAGCATAATATCCATGGTGAGCAGTGTCAGTGTGGATCTGTTGTGGCTGGAGGGTTTAGACAGGATTTGGTCAGCCTCTTTTATTCTTTGTTAAGAAGTTAGATTAAGTCTGCTACCAGGAGCAGCAGTGTAGAGGTGAGGCTCACTTGAAAGTAATCTTTTAAAAAAAAGAAAGTAAAACAGGTGTTATTTAAAGTGGCAATGATCAATATTTTTCCAATATATCAAATGACAATGTGGAAACAATGTCACAATAGTTGAGTTTCCATCCAGTTGTAGTGCAGGGTTTAACTGAATTTTGAGAAAACTGACCAAAGAGGACATAATTGTAGCACTGGTCAGACCTCAAACAAAGGAAAATAATGGATGTTTAATAATGGAGAGCACGCTGGACAGTGGAAATAGAGAATTTTGAACAACTAGTGTGACAGCCCTGTGCTCTTGGAAAAGTTCTGGTAACAGTCCAGTGTGCATACATTAGCTGTTAAAAGCCGTCAGAGACAACAAAGAGAGTTTGCAGTTGCCTATGCAGTGGCAGTACATTATGACTGTACATCATTATTTATTCACCTAATCTGTTTCTGTTGCTCTTAGTCACATTTGCCTTTTATAGATACCCCAACCTTACCATCTCCCCAAGTGTGAAAACTTTTTTTGCAAAATTGTGAGACTTTTCATGATTTTTTTGTGTTTCCACTCAAGTTAAAATGTGCATAAAAACAGGTAGGTTGCAATGCACATAATGTGAAATGTGTCTCTGGTAGAGATGAACCTATGGAGCATAATCAGTTGAATCTCTCTGACCCACAACAACTGTTTTGGTTCACTCTCATCACTCTCATGACTTTAGTTTTGGATGCAGCAGGCAGTTTATTATCTGAGAAAATATTCTAAAAAGCCACTGTAAGCTACCTGCCCAGCACCAAACAGCAGATAGACACAGTTGGAGACTAGCTGGTGGAGCATGTAGAGGCTTTAGAGACAGATATTTCCCTCAGGAGTTGGTAGAGATTAAAATGAGAGCTAAAAGAGAGTGAATATTAGAATTACATCCATCAGGTGGGCACAGACATGACTCCAAATAAATGATAACAGCCCCTGGATGTGTAAATAAACAACTGTTTGCTAATAAGTTCTCATTAATGGAGCATAATGAGGCAATTTTGACAATTGGCATACAGAGAGAACCGTGGTTTACATTAGACAAAGGACTGTGAATGTATCAGGTATTGTGATTTAATGCAGATGTGATTACCTGCAAATCACAATAAAGTCATATGCATACTATTGAAATAGTATACAAAAGTGACTTAAAATTGTTGGCACAATGCGAATAGTTTTTGAAAGCTTTCATTTCTGACATGAATTTTTTGTCAGGTTTCCCATATTTACAGCAGCAGCAACTACAACTTGGCTGTTAATGTTTGCTGGTGTACTTTAGGGTGAGAGCTCATGGCACAACTTAGAGGAGAAGACATCTACATCATACTGCACAGGCACAGCACAGATTCATTGTCCGAGTTGGAGACCTATGACTAACTTACAGGTTCTGTCATGTACATCAGCTGAATGTATTTACACTTTGAAAGAACAAAGGTGCTCTTTGTTGGCAGTGTCTAAATTAAGAGAGACATCGGAAGCCGCCAGAACAACTTGGTTTTGTGTGTGTGTGTGTGTGTGTGTGTGTGTGTGTGTCTGAGAGAGAGAGAGAGAGAGAGAGAGAGAGAGAGAGAGAGAGAGAGGGAGAGAGCTGATGTATGCTCATACGCTCACACTATGACATTCTAATTAAAGGGGATGAATAGAGGGCGCTGAGTGGTTGAGGGCCATGAAGAACTGAAAAAGCATAAAAGATGAATCAAAATGTAGCTTTGGCTCTAAGAATTACCAAGAGGAAAATAGTGGCCTCTAGAATGTGGTTCTTTATGCCCGCTGCTTGTGTTTTTATCCTATAGTACTTGATCACATGCGGCATATTCATAGAAGAAGGACAAATTGAATTGATCTTTTTTCGTAATGCATCTGAATGCTGCCACACCTACAAAATAATGACTGAATTAAAAAAAAAACCTGATTATAGCAGTGACCAAAGAGATGTAGGCTGAAACAAGAGGTATTTCATTTACCTTTCTGACAATACAAAATGTACACAAATTATAAGCAAGCTACATTCTATCGAGACACTAAGTTAGTGCCATACTACAGTACATGTTTTATCTTTTGGTCTAAAGGGTGACAGTCCATTATAGTTTCAAAGGTAAAATCAGCCCTACAACAATGGAACATTATTTTACCTACCTGATTTTAAAAAGAGTTGTCAACTTACACTCCATCTCCAGTCTGACGTTGTGTCCAGTCCAACTGATTTCTGTGGGGAAGGGTGATTTGATTTTCCCCAACCAGTCACCAGAAACCAATGAATTGGCCTGAATCTAATGTCATTTTAAGTCCACACTGATGCATAGCCATGTCAGCATACATGTTTTGTAGAGGATTTAAGAGTGGAGTAGAGCTTAGTAAAACAAATTACTGGGTCTGGCTATTTTGAGAAGACATGGATTTAGAACAACTTTTACAGCAGCGCCTATCATGTCTATATCACTTACCATTGTTGTTAATACTCTTCATTGGTTCCAGTGCACGGCTTGGCAACAGCCCCCCACAATGCTCATTGATTGTTTTTATGCCTCCACGCTGAGGATAGCAGTGGCCAGAGGCATTATGTTTTCGGGTTGTCTGTCCATTCCATTTTCGTGAATGCAATATTTCAAGAATGCCTTGAGGGAATTTCTTCAAATTTGGCACAAACGTCCACTTTGACTCAAGAATGAACTCATTAAAATTTGGAGGTCAAAGGTCACTATGACCTTGTGGCTGTCTCATTCTTATGAACGCAATAAGTAAAGAAGGCCTTGAGGGAGTTTCCTCAAATTTGGCACAAACGTCCACTTGGATTTAAAAATGAACTGATTAGAATTTGGCGGTCTTAAAGGAGAAGTTACGTTTTTTACAACCTGGACCTTATTTCTGGCATTAAATATGGTTGTTTACTCACCCAGATAAGTTTCGTGTCGTTTGGAGTCCTTCGGAAGATATTTAGATCCGTGAGAGCCACGTACATCCATATAGTGGGAATGATCGGGGCACCGACAATGAGGCTCTAAATAACACATTATCTGCCGCGAAACTCGTTCATTTCACCAATATGTTTTTATGAATCGCTAGAGTTGCTTGTCATCATCATCCGGGTCATTTATACTGACCTACTGGATGTAAACTGTAAGTGTAACTTAAGTGGTTTGCGGAGGCATACAACAGCAAAGCGGTAATTCTAGTTTATTTGCACTACAAGGTCTGGACTCAGGCAACCACTTTACTCCAACCTTATCATTATTGGCTAGTCAGGTTTGGTGCCAGTCCTTTGTAATGAAATACATTAAAATAGCAAAAATAACATGCATGAACAAGTAGATGTGGTTGTATGACAGTTGTTGAACTACTCCCTGTTCTATTGCAGTATTGCATTTTGTATTATGTACAGTGTAATCCCCTCAAGAGATAGCCTCTTCAAAATCTCCATCAAGCATTAAGATGAATGTCTGGAGAAGTTGATGTGTGTTTTTTGTGATATCACTGAACTGCATGCAGCTGTTGTTACAGACCCTGGCGAGGGTGAAAGCTGTGTTTGAATACGCCAGCAAATAAATACAGTGGAAACAGTGCGTGGAGAAATATCATTACATGAAAGCATGCCAGTTGAAATGTGGGTCAGTACCTTTCGAGGTTTGCTCATAAACATGAAATAGGCTATAATAATTCATGGTATGATGCAGCTTTTGTTTTTGCTTGTTGGTTGAAGAAAATCCTCGGCCATGTGAGAATATACCTGTGGGTCTGTGCACACCAGGCGTGTTACTAATAGCGTGTTTGGCTTGGAATGGGACCAACCAGTTGGTAATCCACTAGTAATCCTATTTGTCTCTACAGTCAAACCTTGTGCGTCATACTTGTTGTTTTATGCAGTAACAGTAAAGAACTGGTTTTGAAGAACGTGAATATACATTTCCAAACAGACTATGTGTACAAGGTCTTTACAGCTTTAAAATAGCCCCTCTGTAACAGCAGGAGCTGCTGAACCACTTTGATGAGGTCATCCAGTAGTTCCAGGATAGGGATAAGTGAAGGGGATTAGAAGAGTCCTCAGAGACTGATGACCCCACCATAAGGTCATCAGTACACTGATGTTATATCCCCTGTTCTGTTACCACAGTCAGCCCCCTGAAGCTTAGGCAAATGTCCTGTCAAATCATGAGATGGCAGATGGCCCCATCCAAATTAATTATCAGGGTCCAAAGGGGTTATTTAGATATATAAACAACTAATAAATATTTTTGGTATGCAGTTCTCAGCTAAGAGTTTAGTTCACTGAAGCAAAATTAAATTGATATTTTTAGGAGTTTAAAGCGTAAATAAGCTTAATAGCTTTTTTAAAACATGCAATAACTCAGTTATTAGTTTTAACCCTTTCCATTGTGAGCAACAAGGGCTGTATAAGCTTCATATAAGAAGCTGATGTAGAAATGATATACAGTTATACATCATAACAAATACTGTACACCATAATGCTGTGTTCACACTACGAGTGACAACTCAACAGTGTGACCAGCTACATCATCACTGAGTCGCCACTGAAGTGTTGCTCAAGCGCTGGTTAATGAAGCTAATGTTATGTCATCACAGGCTTGTGTGTGTGTGTGTGTGTGTGTGCGTGTGCTTGCAACAAAGAACCTTGACTGAAGGTTAACTAAAGTCTGTATTTGTTTAAAAAAGTACCTATGCATTTGATTAACCTCTGAGCCCCATTTTAGCATTACATTTCGCCACCCCATTCCATCCCTGTGTGCACTGCAGTACACAGGGAGCTAGCATAGCATCAGCTAACTAAGCTAAATCACCAACTTACCACAGCTCAAAACAAAAATACAATTGCTTGAAGCTTCACCGTATTATTGGAGCATCAAAAAAAGATGAAGCCAGCTCAGCTTTAGTTTTTGTCACACCTGTCTGCAGTAACAAGTGTTGGGCTCCAGTTTGTAGCCTCATGTCACAGGCTTCCATTGAAAATTACTTGCAGCCTGTTGCCTTGTCACTTGTAGTGTGAAGACAGCAACTGGTACCCTTGTTGGAACAAAACATATCAAAACAAAATAACAGTGTGGTAATTAATCATTTTATTGGTGGTTAAAGTTAATTTAGACACTATGCCAAAGTGACGAGTTTGTATCACAGTCTTTGGTCCTCAGTAGCTTGAGTTGTGTTACAGTTGTAACAGGAATTGATCGAAAACAGAAGAGCTGTCTGAATTGTTGTAACTTCATTTGAATGTTAAACAGCATTATTACTTTATGGAAAAAGATATTCCTCTGTCAGTGTGCTGCTGAGTTGAAGCATGGCTGTACTATTGGATCAGCAGTATGTTGACTTTAAAACAGTACAGTATTTTATGCACATGCAAAATTTAGTCTTTAATTTTGTCTTAAAATCTAATATTCACTTGTTCGTTCGGCTAATTTTGTCCTACTAGTGTCTAATGCACAAGATGTTCCCTGCACTTCAGCAGTGCTGCAGAGAGGCACTGCGTCATCTGGGGTGAATGTTTGTGGACAATATTATGCCTCCTAATGGCCACTTGGGGGCAGATAAAGTGGGGTAGCCATGAATTTTTAAGTGGGGGCACCCCGTGGCTCAGCATTGTGGCGCCAACCATAATCGCAACATCCCCTGTTCAAATCCTGCTAAGGGCCTTAATGCATCTCTTTCCCTTGTTTCCTGTCACCACTATACAAGGTCCCCAGCATCAAATGCCCAAAACATGACTAAAAAAAGATCAATTATTGAGTGAATACATGTGAATATTTTACATCTATAATCTTTTGTATAATGTTCATTTGATATTCTACCTGTTCAGTCTGGCTGATTTATCTTATCAGCAGATCTTGCCAGTGTTTCGAGAGTGAGGTCAGTGTCCCTATTTCACTCCCAGCATGCCTCAGGGCGCAGTTTTCTATCTCATATACATTCTTTATTTGTGTTAACTTGAATCAGGAAGTCAGAAAGGCTTGCTACCATAAACGGAAGAAGAGATAAAGTAAGCTTGCATGAACTAAGGGTTTGTAGTATGTCTTAGTGTGCGAGGGATTTATTTTTGGTTGCCACAGGCACATATAGGCTTACGCTATCCAAGCTTCTAATTAAAGACTTACTGAAGCAGCAGACAGACCGACTAGCCAATGATGACTCCAACTATCTGTCAGTGCCAATTCTTGCGTAACTCTTACAACTGCATCCTGTTGGTGTTTTGCATTTAAATTAAATGTGACATACATTTTTATTAACTGTCAACATTTCCAAATCCATTTAAATGAGTGTTAGATCTATTTAACATATGTACATGCAATGCCTTTAATATATTAGAAGATATTTTAATATCATACAGTTTATATTTTGCATTTGTGTATTTAATGTTGGCATTTTTTTACTTACTGTCCCAGCTCACTTAAGTGTCAAACCTCTCATTCAGTGCTCCAGTCTTTACAAACTATCCTGAAATAGGCCTTTTCACAGTGCATTCAGGCTATGAAACTCTCATTACCTGAAAGACTGTTCTGCTGGTCTATCTGATCTCTTGGATTTTCTTGGTTAGTGTGTGTTATAGTTTAAGTGTGGTGGTGTATAGATACTTATGCACCTGTTTGTTGTTCCCAGCAGAGGGAGCAGAGCAGCTCAGAACCCAGCGGGACGGAGAGGGGAGAGAGCAGTGCCAAGACCTCTGAGGTGAGTTATCTCTGGAAGCACTACTTTCTTTCCATGTGTACAAGATTTGTGTATCTTTCAGTAGCTTGGTGGATTATTGTCATAGTGTGGGATTAAGCGTTACATCAAGTCATCCATTTCTTTTTTAGTGATCATCATCCATTTTGGTCCATTTTATTCTGGGATGTACAATTTTTAAATTCACCTCATCATGATTCATGGCATGGTAGAACACTGCAGGGTAACGCAGCCCAACACATCTTTAACATACAGTAATACAACACTTGGTTCCTCAATAAGCAAGCTGTCACTCATATTCCCAACAACGAGTTCACAAATGTAAATGAGATTATGTTCAAGCAAGGAAGAGAGATGTGGTTTGAGGGCTTGGGCTCAGAGTAAAGATAGCTGTGCCAATAATATCACGGCTCTGTGGACATCACTGATATGACATAAGCTAAACTTCTTCTGTCTGTTCAAATGGTTGAGAGCAGGGAATGACCAGTCTCAGTAAAGATGACAGTTTAATCTTTGCTCCTATTTGCTTGGGAGTAGTAGAGGATATGAAGTTATTAGGAACTGCAGAGCTTCTTTATTTGATTTGTAAATTAAATTTTTTTTTTTGCTGATTAGGTTTGCTGACATTGGGAATCTTATGTGAATTGAGTGCGAAGTGATATCAGCCAGAATCAGTTTTCAGAGTGCAGTGTCTCCTTGTGCTTCTTCTAGATGTGCAATTTCTGTCTTTGTCTCTCTGGTTGTAAAACAATGAGGCAGAGGTGCCTTCTATACTGAAGTGTTACACAAAAAAACACACTATGGGACCTATTTAAACGATCTATAGTGCATGGTCTAAAATGCATGGCTTAAATGGATTAAGGGCTTATCCAACTATTTGTGCTAGTAAAACAGCTCATAAACTGGGCACAAGTTAAGGCAGGAGGAGCAAAGGGGTTGTATTTATCCCCTTAGTTAATTAATCACTAATAACTAATTAAAGGACTAAATAATCATAATGTGTGTTTTGGGCGTAACATGAATTCAACTAATTAGAGTGTCATCTTGTATTCCCTTTAAAAGCCAGGCGCGCCTGCACCTTGTGTATTGCTGTTTATATGGTGGATTCAGCAAATTGTTGATGCGAGTGGTTTTATGCTGAGAGTAAAGCAGTAAGTGCAGTAATGTCACTGCAGCAAATATTTTTGGACATTTAAGCAGCAAAACAATTGGGGGAATTTCCTCAATTTTGGGACAAATGTCAACGTGAACTCCTGGATGAACTGATTACAATTTGGTTGTCAGAGGTCAAGGTCACTGTGACCTCACAAAACATGTTTTTGGCCATAACTCATGAGTTTCAAACAAATGTATGATAGAATGAAATGATGACCTTTGCTGTGACATCATAATGTTCTGCAAAAACACTTTTCTGGCCATTATTTAATGCCATAACTCTAAGGAGTAGAAGGGGAGACAGTTGGTCAGATACTGAATTGCTGACTCTGATCATGGCAGTCCACCTTGAAACTGTACAGATTGTATAGATCTTCTTTGCTGCTGGGTTGAAAATGTGTGTCAAGCATCCATGTTTTAGAATATGAAGCTTCTTTGCAGCAACATCCATATTTGAAGCATCGTCTACTGTCATGCCTACATATGAGTCTGTACGGACGTGGATGTAAACTGTATCTGCAACTTGACTGGTTCACGGAGGCATACAGCTGCAAGGTGGCAATTCTAGTTTATTTCAGAAAGTGCATAAATATAAAACCTTCACCTTATATCCATAGTGGGGCCATGATTATTTTTTAAAATGCAATGAATCGCTGAATTTCAGTAGTATATCGCGATTAATCACAATTTTTAGTCATGTTTAGAATTCCTTTATTGTGCATTTCAAAACAGTCCATATTAAGACGGTAACGCATTTCTTACTAGTCTCTCGATTGAGAATCAAGTGAATGTAAAGAAATTTACTTAATGGTCCTGACTATTAGATTTATTTTTTTAATCAGTGCTACAGAGCTACAACAGTGTGGTCTTGAAACCATGAGTTAGAAGTAGGAAACAACTTTATGACAAAGAGCTGATTCTGAGAAATAAAGTCCATACCCGGGGATGCGTTATGTATAGAGGAATAAGAAATCAAAAACAGTACATTAGAGGAGATGCAAAATCAGAGCACTGTAAATGCACTGTGTAATAAATATTAATGTAAGACAAACAATGCACACTGTATTTAGAAACATGCTTTATTGCAAAATACATGGAGCGTAGTTTTGACTGACGGCACGGAGGCCCGCGCAAAAACACAAATATAAACAGTAGAAATGTGGGAAAAATGCAAAAACAGCATCATGGCTGTCTGCACATGACCAAGATGAAAGCCTATGTGCAAGTTCAGAGAAGTAGGTCAAAGCAGTGAGGAGGAAAACGTATGATGACGGACGGACAAACGGCCGGACGGACAGAGGTTTCTCCATTTAATAGTAGGATATACATGTGTGGTGATGTGTCTGTGTCACTCTGCAGTTACACCTCCAAAACACTAGTTGGCATTGGGGTTTCTGTGAAGCGATGTAAAGTTTGACTGATTCAAAACACACCTAAAACACATATAAACATGGCTTAAAGGGATATTGCACCCAAAAATGAAAATTCACTACTCACCCGTATGCCGATGGAGGCTCAGGTGAAGTTTTAGAGTCCTCACATCACTTGCAGAGATCCCAGGGGAGAGGGGGTAGCAGCACAACTCCACCTAATGGATGCTTACGGCTCCCCAGAATCAAACGTCCAAAAACACGTGTGCGCGCTTGTGGGCGAGACCAGCGAAAGCACATGAACACACATGAATGTGGTGCCCATGTCTCATGGTCTCGCGCACAAGCGCACACACGTGAGCGTAGTGCCCAGAGAGGCAGTTAGAGCTGCAGGCTACAATGAGGCTAAAAACGGAGTTCAAATGACGTTTTTCCAAACAACTTTTTATGTTGGGGCTTCAGGACACTTGGATCACTAAAATTATATCTGTGGAAAAGATGACAATTTGTTACATTTGTTATCATAAAATAGATAGACAATATAGTATTTAACAAAAAAAAGCTGTGCAGACTTTGCATGCTACCTGAAATAATTGCAGTTTCAACAGTGATTAATCAGCACAAAGCCCTTATTTTACATTTAATTCCACTCCAGTGAAATTTGAGAACAGATCTGATGGTTTTTAGTCGCTATGCCACAAAGTGATTCAGGAGATTGTGTTAGGGTCAGTTACAGGCTAGCTTCAAGGTCATGGCAGGCTTTTGAGTAAATCTGTCCAGTAGGTTCTTAGCAATATTAGCACTGGTTTGCACATACACAAACAAATCCAAATTTGTCACACCTAGTCTGTATATACAGGCGGAAAGGCCTAACAAAGGAGGTTAAAGCATTCCCTCTCTCTAATGCAATAAGTCGAAGCTCTCTGAGCCGCATCACCTGAAAAGATTAGCCCTGTTGCTCTGGCAGAGGGAGTCTGAGCTGGTGAATGTGTTCAGTAGGAGCGACGGGAAACTGGGAGTGTAGGAGTGCTGCTTCGTCTCCAAATGAAAGCAGTAATCAAGGTCAAATTCACACCTCTTCACCAGGATGGCTTCAGCAAACAGGTACCAGAGCAGTTTAATGGGGGATAATTTGCTGCCGTTCAGAGGCTTGTAGTCTCTAGAAGGGGAAGGTTTGACCATTGGAGTGGTTACATTTACCTGGGAGACAAGATCTTATTGGTTAATATGGAAATTAATTGATTTTTAATGTACAGTACCTATAGACTGAGCTCGAGCTTTTCAAAGCCCATGCATTGCTGTTATTTCTCCTGTATGTACTTCAGCACTGTAATATAGTCTCACATTGTAGTATTCTCTACTTGCAGGATGGATACATGCATCCTTCGTGTAAAGAATATAAAAATCTGTCTATCTTAAAAGAAAGCAGCATTTGTTGTATTTTTTAAAACAATGACCGACTGATTTGCTGAAGGACAGAGGTTAGTTCCTATGAACTGTGATCAATGCATCTGTGCATTGAGACATTTAATTAATGACAGGAAAATACAAATTTTGCATGAAGGTTGTATTTTACAAGTATATTACTACTATACGTGAAATTAGTGAAACTTTATTTAATCCTCTCTTTTATGAGATGCTTTTATTTCATTAAAATCCTTAGGTTTGTTTATCAAGGTGTATTTTTTCACTCAGAATGGAAGACACAAATTTGCAAATTAACCTGTTCAGCTAAATATAAAAGTTTTGATGTTAAATTAAAGGCTTCTAAAAGACAAGGGATTTTAAATTCTTCCGCATAATCTTCCCTGGGCTACTGTATCTTACTCTTACCATGTGTCTTTGAGTGTTGGTCAAGATTGAGCTGCATTTGTTGTTTTGGAAAATGCTGCTGTTATGTCTCATGAAATAATTGTAAGATGAAAGTGTGCAGTTTCTAAGTGTTGTTGACTCAGAGGTGGTTCTGTCACTGATAACAACACACATGTGGGAACAAGCAGTTGAAACTGTAGTTTTACAGCCCTGGTGGGAGAGAGGTGTTGCTGGTGGTGGTGGCAAAGCTTGCTGCCGGGGTTTCCCCACAGAGACATTGTTTTGATTGAATTGTTATTTCAGGTGTTGTGCTTTTGGCAGAAAACTGTTTTCTATTGTAGTTTTCTAATTGCAGCAAGCTTGCATGACCATGTGTCCAACTTGTTCTGAGCTGAATATTAGCTTTGCTCTCAGTTCATTGGCAACAACAACAAACAAAAGTAGCTGTTAAGTAAGTAGTTACATGTTTTTCGTTACATTCTATCATTACTGCTATCATCAGCAATCGATTACAGTCTTTGGGTGTGTTTGAGTCACATTTGGTGCATCAACATTATGATAAGAGGGCTATAATGATGCAGTAATGTTAATATTGTCCTTTTATTAAAATCAAACATCTGCTCAACAACATCTGTTGTCTAGCATTGATGTGATGGAAATCATATT